ATCTGACACCATAGTATACACTTCTAACATCATTGTACCTAATACTTACTATGATTTAAGAAATATTCTATTTTATTTGCTTTGATTTGAGCCATGAAAAAAATTGGACCATGGAAGTGCATTTATATGCTACAAGCAAAGTTTGTTCCCCGATAAGGAATTGTTTTTGTTTTGCAATTGACACCAACATATTTTGCAAAAAATCTCACGTCTAGGAGTGCAAATGTGCACACTGGTTTTGGATTTTCGATGCAAGTCATCCCACTAACAACAACAACAAAATAGTTTTTTTTAGTCTCTGGAAGTTCAGAAAGTCAAGCAGTTTAATTTGTTTAACCTACCTAACCAACCTGAAAATCTAACCAAGATTTTTCATTACCAATTGAGACGAGGATGCAACTATGCGCATTTTGACTAGAATATAAGTAATGGATAACTGCAAATTTGATTGTAAACAAATATAGGAATAAAAATATCTACTTTCTACCACTATAAGGAAATGATCACCTTTGCCAAATCAGTAAAAATTACGCAAAATAGCTCAATCATAGAACTCAACATTCAGTTACATTCTATTTGGTTTATTATACATCTATAGGTATTTCGCGTTTTGCTGCATGTATACTTTAAAAACCACCTATAATAGATGGTTGTGCTGCATACAGTGTCTAAAGCTAAGCGATACAAATCTTTTTTTTACATTTACCTTATCATGTGTAATAGAATCCTCTTCTACCACTACCACATAACATATAGCCTAAATATTACCAAGTTCGAGTAGCAAGCTGTATCATGTAGGCTATCATTCCCTCTTATATTCACTCCATTGTGTTAATATAACAGTAGTTCTACTACATACATACATACAACATTCTCTGTTTCGGCACAGTTGGCAGACCTCGTTTCAAACATGTGTAGGCCACGCCATCTACATACAATGCGCATAGCGTCATTTAGTCACATTTAATTTCCAGGCTTTACTTAACATAAAGGGACCTGAAAGGTGTTATCTTCATGCCAATCGTTACAGTGAACTGAGCTCATTCCATTGTCGTTGGACTGATTGCTGATTGACGACTGATGATTGCCAAACGTTGGCCTCCTTTCGCAATCAGTTCCGGCTCACTCTGTGACGTTTTGTTGCTCATCAAACCACCACACCAACTCTAACAATTAGTCTACTTATAATCTAAAGTAGATGCAAGGATAAGGATCTCATTTGTCTGTGATACAGGTAACAAAAATGTCAATAAGATAAAAAATCGTATAAAATAAAACAATCACGTAGTGTTATAAATTTAAAATTTCAATTTACAAAGTTAAATTATTAGTTTATAACATGAATATAATGAATAATATGAACAGTAAAATGAATAATATTAACAGCAATAACACGGTTATCTTTACTCTTACCTCTAAACAATTATTGACAAATAATAGGTTTTAATATTTATTTAAGTTGTTTTATTTAACTGTATATCAAAGATGGTTAATGCAAGTTACGCAAACAAAGTTAACTTAAATTGATTTCAGAAAACTAATAGGCCAAAAACAAGCCAAAACGTACAGACGTCACTTAAAGTTACTTTCCACACACTTATTGTATAGAAACTTTGAGGAATTAAAAATACAGTAGCTGCTGTTTTGCTGTTAGAGGAAATCTAGATTGTTAACTACAATCTTTTGTAGGATTACTTTTTTTAGTTCGAATCAGCTGATTTAAATTCTTTGTTTTAACTCCCATTTACATTATGATAAATACTAGCTGTTGTACCCGGTTCTTGTAACGGGAAGAGGACACAAAATAGAAACATTTTAATCTTTACATCCGTTGCATATAATAGTTACACATCCGCCAACGCTTTTAGAAACAAAATGATGACTTTTGAAATCTAGTAAGTAGTGGCATTGACTATTGGATACCACCATTTTGGTTTTGATTAATTTTAAATCTTGTGTAGGCTGATACAAGAAAAACTGACCAAATCTTGAATAAAACCTTGACATACATGATTTACCTTCATCTCCCTTAATTACATATATTTTAATTTATTATTGACATTTTAAATTTCTGGCTAACAAAAGCATTCAGTAAATGAAGTCGAATCGCCACCATTTTAATCACCACACGAAACATGCATCCGAATAGCATTCAGATTTGACAATAGTCTGCGGGCTAATTGCACTGTTTAAAGACAATAATAAAACCGCGAATTTGAATTAGCCTTTTTGGATAAAAAGTACCAGGGGACTGAGTATTGCTCACTAGTAATTAAATTGTTTGACAGGTAAGATAAAAAAATATATATTTATGATTTCCAACAGACGGTTGAGTTTTCTTTACGACCAAACATAATTCAGAATACTCTCTAAACATGTAACAAAACGAATTACAGTATACGAAATTTTTTTATCATAATCAAGTATTGATGCTAATTATACAGTATAATATTTAATTCAGGATTTTTAGTCGTAAGTCATTAAAAACTATTGTAAATAATCAAGCACATCTGAAATAGTAAAAAAATCAGCATTTTAAAACACCTTAGGTGGATAACAATAAATATTAGTTTACAAAATGGCTGTTTTGATTTAAAAAAAATATGACCCTAAATAAATGCGCCACCCATAAATGTTGTTTAAGTGAGATATGTATTTCTACTTATTTTCCACAAGATAAGTAAAAACCTGATCGGTAGTTTTTAGCCCGTACACGTGCTTTAATGTTTTTGTGTCTTGTAATGTATCTGTATTATTTATTAATCCTTGACACAAATAACATCTGTTTTTATTTTATTTATTGGTAAATGATTAACCTAGTAATGCATAATGTTGATTAACTTTCATTTTTAGTATCGTGTGTCATGATTAGTTGTACAGTTTATTGAAATTTTCTAGTTTATTTTATCCATGGAGAGCAATAGTTTTAAATTTGAATCATATCCTTAGACTATTGTTTGAATTTCAAAGTACCAAAACAACTTATGCATTTATTCATACTTGGCTTAAAATACCTATGGTATGGTTGTCATTTCCAATCAAAGTATTAAAGTAATGCCATTATTTATTTTTGCATGTAGTCGAGTGCAATACTTTCCTGTGACCATTGACCATTGACCATTGTTGACTTATGCTGTGTTTTACCAATGACTATAGATTCTGATAGCCAACAGACGTTGACGACAGCCCTACAGAGTGATCTGGCGGCCAAGCATCCAAGCTGCTCCAGAGCTGCTCAGCACAGAAAGTTTTGCAACAATATCACTCCTCTTAGCTAATGAAGGGGCGCAACTTAGTTAAAGTAGCTGTTGATTTTCTCAACAGTCTCAGTTAATGCGGTAAGGGTGAGGGTGGTTTATGGCACTTAAGTGGTTGCTTTGTATGACTCATTCCATCACTGATTATCATTAAATTACTTAGTTCATGATTATGTAATCACTGAAACATTTTGAGAGAGACTATTTTGTTCATAATGATTACGACAAACTGTGGTATTATAAGTTTACATTAGGCTACATTTTGAGTCGAGTGGAATTAATCACAAACCATTCCAAAGCAAATAAAAGACTATAAAATCTAAAAATCATTTATATATATAAAATCCAATGTATGTTTGTTTGTTTGCCTGTTCGTCCTTTATGGTCTCCGAAACCGCTCGACAGATTGTAATGAAACTTCCACGCATTATTAAGCATTATTCAAGGATGGTTTGTGTGAGGTTTGGTGCAGATCCGTCAAAAGGACTCCGCCCCAGTGGCTCTGGAGTTTTCCATGTTAACCTTGTGACTCTTGTGAGTACTCAAATTTAAATGGAATTAAGAATCTTAACAGCTGATTCAACTAAACAATTAAATTTGATTCTGTGATGTTCAATAGCATTAAAAAGTTAATAGGTTTACCAACAGGGTGCAGCAATATTATTTTTTTTTTATATTTATGACAACAGCTAATTTCTAACCAAAATGTGAGTGAACGTAGCGAACGAACTTCAACCTGGAGGCGAGCTAGCGTAGCGAACGAGCTCTAATCTAAAGGGGAGTGAGCGTAGCGAACAAACTTCAACCAGGATGTGATTGAGCCATGCAAACGAGCTCATCTTGAAAATGAACGAGCATTTGACATAAAACCACATTAGGACAGGACGACGTCTGTCGGGTCAGCTAGTATTAAATATAAACAAATCGCAACCAAATAAGTGAAGCTATTTACTGGCAACTGTCATATTGTTACTTGTGCACATTATCGCTCATGGAGCTCTAAAACAACGGCCTCTTTCAAAGGACATTTTCTATTTTCGAAGGTAAGCTAAAATATTGCAAAGAGAAAACAAAAAAGTAAAAAAAGTATAAATTATATCTAATATTAAGTACTTAGGTAGGACAAGAAAATTTCCGAACGGAATTCGTTTAAAATTTTCTTTGTTATTAGGCCTAGGTAAATTATTTTTTCCAACACGTATTAAAAGTAATTTATATAGTAGTTTTTGTGCGGGGATAGTCACTCAGACATTTATTAACGTACAATACTTTTACTGTAAGTTTGATTCTATGTCAAACTTTAATTTACGAAATTTATCACATCCAAATTTCGTGTTGACCTATCCCTACAATGAGTTGGCACAAATATCACTTACAATTAAAAATGTAAATAAATGGGGACTCAAACCGAACCAGGCGCACAACGTCCCATAAGAATTGGCAGAATATGAAAACAAAGCACACCAGCACATGTTAAAAATATTAACACCTCTTAAATTTTAACATGGAGGTGAACATCACTCGCAGGACGTAGACCATGTTAAAATAACCAAATTACTAAGAATAACTATTAGGCCTACAAAAAATAATATTTAAGTGAGTTTCCATACAAAATATCAAACATTGAACAAATAAATTCGACAAAGCAGCTATCTTCCTATCTGTGAAACCTATACAGGCAGGGATGATAACAGTAGACAATAATAAATAAGTCAAAGGAAAATAATAACCTTCAATTTAAAACTTTTCACAGAAAAATATTTTTATTTAAAAACAACAAATTGAACTAATTTGGCAATGTTAGTTGTTGTCAACATCCATGAGTGGTGGTGGGGGTGGCATATGGTGTGCTTCGTAGTCAGGAGAAGACTGCCAGTCACACGGCCAGTATAACTGAAACATAACACTACTTAACTATACATTCATGAAGGGTGGAAGATGCGTATTTTGTGGTACATTTGATCCTTAAACTAGTTTCACACGATGATTAAAATGTATTATTTTATTTTTCATTTATCTGGGGGAAAGACCTCATGGCATGTCGTACAAAAGACAATAAAAGACATTTCGTACCTGTGGTGTGTTCTTGCCCTCAAGGATGATGCGCAACTTCTGCAGTTGGCATGCGGCCTCGTGGGGCGAAGGCGGGAGTCCGGAGCGTTTCTTGCCGTTGGTCCAGCCATGGGAGTACTGGAACGTCTGGGCCAGGACGACGCCCGCTAGGCAGCACAGGACCAGCAACGTAGACGTGGGATGTCGGGACACCATCCTAGCACAGAGATAAACTGTAATACTACACAGGCCGCTATACGGGGTAATGTGGACATAACATTGGTTGGCGCTGCAATACAAGATCGTAGTTATTATGTCATTAAATAAACCAAAGCACTCTAGCTCTTAAAATTGGAAGGTTACGCACTTCAGGATAGACTTAAAAAATCGACGTACAATTTTTTAAATTTAATGTAATGTTTGTCTCCGCAAAAATTGAATTCGGCTTAGGCCTACTAATTACGTGAGGGAAAACTGTCAACAAAGCTTTTCATTTTAAGTTCATACAAATTCATACTGTAGTCCTAGGGTCAGTGCTGGCTGGTATATTGCACTAACCTTTAGCCGCTTGAAACACTATGCTTGCCTAATTGTGCATTAGACCTTGCCTGTTAGTTTATGTTCTCATTGGTGATTCACGGGAGTTTGAAGACCTCTTGTTTTAAGGGCGGTCCCAGGGGTGGGGGGTCATGGTGGTGGTGACTCCCCCCAAATAATTTTCCAAATAATATATATATATGTATATAGGCTAGTTTTATACAAATATATAAATATATATATATATAAATTATTATACCAGGGGAACTTAAATAATTAATTGTTATTGCAAATCGTTCGACCAAATTCATTGTAGTCTTTAAAAACTCCAACCTAAAACTGGGGATCGTTCGAGTTAGACTAGTATTATTTTACGTTGTGAAAAGTAAATAACAATTAAAGTTCCCATGGTATAAATAATATTTGGGGGGGTCACGACCCCTTGACGCCCCCCTGGTACCGCCCTTGCGAACAAAAAATACTTTGTTTAACATTTTATTTCACCTTGGTTACAACAAAACATAGCAGAAATAGATAACTTTTGAACAAAAAACCATAAATATACCTAGCAACAAAATTCATATTTGAAATTAACTTGAAACAAGTTACAAGCTCTCTGTATCGTGAGTAATATAATAAGAAATTGAAGAGTAAACCTGTAAATTAGAAACATGTAGATAAGTTTTGTCATATCCTTAGCTTTACATGAATTAATAATGAGAACTTGTAGATTATTTTGGGCATGATTAAAAGTATATAATCGAATTTCTAGCTTAGCTTTGTTAAACTCATCCCATTTCTATGTTAGTAGTTTGGCTAGCCATAAGTTTGATTTCAAATGTGTTTTTTCTGATTGAGATAGGAAATCCTAAATTAAGTTATTTAAGTTGAAATGGAATATTAAAAAATGTACAAAACGTCAAATGATTCATAAGGAAAAACGATTACCTTGGTCCATTTTAGGTTTATTATTAAACACTGTTGGTTCTTTCATGACTTCTTACTTCCAAGCTCTAAAAATCACTAAACTTGCAAAAATGAACACGTTTCAAAATTACACGAAGGAATATTTAGTACTGCATTTCATCAACACTCCAATTTGAAAACTACTATATATAAGTAAGTTTTGAAGATTTCTTTTATTAATTTAAATAAAAAATATTGAGATTGAAATTGTTTCTACACAGTTAGTTATTGATAGCTACAAAATTTTGATTTATTTTGGAAACCATATGTTTTATTTGTTATTTGTTTACATGAAATTAAATAAGAATTTTATTTTATTACTAGCTGTGAGTACCCGTTCTTCGTACGGGTTTATTCAAGAATAAGGTTACAAACTTTTTGTAATAACAATGATTAATTTATTTTAACATAATTTAGTACATAAAAATACATTAAAAAACTTAAATCTTAAAAAATATTCGAAAGTTTTAAATAACAAAGTTGGCAAAGATAGCAGAGTTGAAGCGCTTAACATTTGTCACAGCGAAATTACAATATCAAAATTTCAAAAACAACAAATGACATACATTGAAAATAAATATTAAATAGTGAAGAAAAACAAAAAACACAAAAAATTAAAAGGTTGCCTAACTTAATGCCTCTTCATATACTATATTAGTGGTTCGACCGCCTGGGGCATGTATGTAAAGGTTGGTTGGCGATCGCACTCGGCTGCACGCCACGTACAGCTGTCCGTGTGAAAAACATTGCGCGTCACCTAGTTCAATCCCTGCTGTTGACAGTGTCTGACCTTGCGATTTGTTGATCGTCATGGAAAAACATGGATTTAAGGGAAATTGCAGGCGCTTAAACTCAAAGGGATAGTTGCTTGGGATGAGGGGGATCCGGGGGACAAACACCACTTCTCCCGCACCACAGCCTGTTAGAATTTCGGCTTCTATGACATTTCGCTGGAGACTTCGAATTCGAAGCCGAGTCCCATTGCATAATTTAGGAGGGTTTAAATTTCTTAGAAGCATAACGGGAATACCAATTTTAAGATTAAGTTCGTGGGCGGGTAGTCCAGGTGCTGTCACCGAGTCAAGAAACTCTGCCGGGTAGTGCACTGCGTCATCATTTCTTAGAACTGTGTTCACCGACAAATATGTCTTGTCCTCGCTTAGGAATAGGGACATCACTTTCTTATTTATCTTTGTTGAAACTTCATTTTTTGGAGTGAGAATAGCCCTATTGCATAACCAGGCACTGCTCTTGTTTGGGAGGTCTTCAATTCCTGGATAGACTTTCTCGATGAGTTCATCTTGGGTTTGAACAATAACACCAAGAGAAGGTGGTATATCGATAGTTCCATCAACGTTACCCAGCTTTCCATCTCCCAACTTTAACAGAACATTGGAGAATTCTTCCACCTCATTTCCAATATTGGCCCGCATGTTCTTTGTTAACGCCAGTTTGTTCATTATTGGCCATAGGGTAGATCTTTTCATAGAGGCGTTAATTTCATCCGCCCTTGTGCCTCTCACTACAACTGGCAGAGTTTGGCGGAAGTCACCAGAGAACAATACCGTCACTCCACCCATGATCTTATTACTGTTCCTCATATCTTTGAGTGTTCTGTCGAGGGCCTCGATTGTCAGTTTATTGGACATCGTACACTCGTCCCAGACTATTAAGGAGGCTGCTTGTAGAACTCGTGCCATGGGAGCGCTCTTCGATATAGAACAAATCGGGATGTCCATATGCTCTACATTTATTGGGATTTTGAACATGGAATGGGCAGTTCTTCCACCTGGCAGAAGGGTTGCTGCAATGCCAGAAGAGGCCACAGCAAGAGCAATCTTACTGTTTGATCTAACCTTTGCGAGAATCAGCTTTATGAGGTAGGTCTTTCCAGTACCTCCAGGAGCATCAAGAAAAAACATCTTGTTTCTTTGTCCATTTATGCTCGTCAAAACTTGCTCATACACTTGGCGCTGCTCCTCGTTGAGAGTTGGCGTACACTGTTCAATAAACCTAATGAGTTCGGGATGGTCGTAACTTGTCTCTCTGATATAATCATGGTTTAACTGATTGACATCTATGGCTGGTACTGGTAAGTTGTAGCTTTCGAGCCCAAGTCCTCCCATGCGAGTGATTGTCTCTTGAATGCTTGCTAGGCACTGGTCATATATGATAGGATTGTTTTCAAAGGTGGTGTTAATGTCGACTTGATGTGCAGATCTCAAAAAGTCCTCTGAGAGGGAATCTCTGAATCTGATCCAGAGCTCAAGAGGGTTGCTCACATTGCAAAATACTAATAAGACACTGAAGAGATCCCTCAACTTGGTGGGACTGTCAGAAACAGCAGCTTCTGCAAGAGTGCCCTCCCAGCACGCATCATCCTCTAGTAAACCAAGGGCACGGCATGCGGATTGGAAATTTGGATGGAGCACACCATCAACAGTCTTGAGATCCTCAAAAGATGTTGGACCTCGAACAGTGTGTAGGAGGAGTCGGAGATGGTAACGCTCACTGCAGCTTGGATGGACAGTGTACACCCTACCGATGCACGGATCTTGTCTCACGTCAGGATGTCCTGGTACTGGTTGTCCTCTCCGCCTCCTGGACCAACCTCTTTGTTTAGAGTATGTGTAATAATAGGGCAACTCGTTGTAGAGGAGGGTTCTTGAAAAGGCGTCCGTCTGGCAGAGATTGAAGAAGGCCAAAAGAGTTGTACTTTGGTCCATTCTTTCCCGAACATTGCCTGGCTGGAAATATACTCTTTGCTCATTTGGAAGGTGGACCTCTAAATGCAACACAGCGGTAAACCTCTCATGTATAGGAAATGATAAAATTCTCCATACCGCCTCAGATGTGCATATATACCGACCACTTTGGTACATTTTAATTTCGTCTGTGTCATTACTTACTGCAAATGTGGCCTGGTCACTGCCCTTGTTTATGTACTTGCAGATGTACTTTATAGATTTTACACTGCTACAGTACTCAACGTTAACATGTGTTAGAAATGTTCGGGACAATACAGGCGAGTAAGGTACTACCCATCGGTTGTCCATAGGGATTTCATCGTTACCTACTCTGATTAGGACATGATGGCCTCCATCATCTGGGGAGCGCCTTCTGTATGTTGGGTATCCATTGTCTCCTGTTGCCGTTTCATTGACAAATGGTCTAGGGTATCTTTTGCTACAGTGACCATCCTTCATACAGGGAAGCTTGCGCTGTCGCACATTAAAAGCTCCGCATGGTCCGTGCAGCATGTGAGTCTTGACTATATCTGCAAGTTCAGGATCAGTTTCAGGATTTGGAAGCTCTGCAGAAATGACTTGATCTATTCTATTTGGAGGAATGGATTCTTCAAGCCAAATCAGGATATGAGCGTGTGGAAGACCACGTTTCTGCCATTCAACAGAGTACATGTAGCAGCGAACTGAGCCATAAATCTGGCCTTTCATAAGAACAGCAATCATACAGTTAAGCTTCAAATGAAAAACTCGTGATACCACATCATACCGGTCGTGAGCAGACTGCCTTTCTCCAATTACACTCGTGATTTCTATCCATTTTGGATTTGTTGTCATTGTTATGAAAAGTTCTGGACGACCAAACTTCCGAACATAGCAAAAGGCGTCCTGTGTGCGAGAATGCATATATCTAGGACCTCCAGTGAAGGTGGCAGGTAAAATTATCTTTTGCCCCATTTCTTCTACGTTG